CTTTACAAAACCAACTACCTTACATGCTGAGCTGTGTTTGGATGTGAAATTTCAGCAGCATTAATGTCTGGCTGACAGTCTGCTTTTTTCTTAAGCAATCCAAGTTTTGTTATTCAAGTAGAGCAGGAATCTTCAATCATTTAGGGAAGCTCTACTGTTGCAAAACAGATGAGGCTGAAAGAAACCCTTCTGGAATATTTCTTCCTTCATTTTAAAATAAACACCCTTCTGGAACAAATGAGCAGACAAAAATTTCTGTAAGTAATACCGATATGATCTTTTTACATAGATTTGCCTTTCATAAGAGAGTTTTTTAAACAAATATCCTAAGGAAAAAAAAAGGTGTACTGCACAGACTTGCAGAGATATCTTTCTCCAATTAAAAGATACTGGGGAAAAAATAATTAGAACCTGAATACCTGAAAGACAGGTTAAAAAGTAATTTGAATTTGAAGAGAGCAGTAGCTTCAGATATTTAACAGAAACTAACTTCTGCTCCTTAGACATCTCTAGAAGTTTATCTTTATGGTTTTATATGCACACAGTTTGAGACATATGCACCCTTCAGGGGAGCTTTAAACTATATTCTTTACTTGTACAAGACCTTACATGCTTGCAGATGTTTGAGACCCTGAATGTTTTAAAAATGTTTGCAGAAAGTTATTTAGTAAGCTTTAAGCCTGATAAAGAATACTATATTTTCTTAGGGCAAAAACTAGCAGTTAATTGTCAGGAGAATTTAATGACAACAGGGATTTCCCTTGCTGTTTTAAAAAGGCAGTAGCATATTTCAAGTGTTCAGGAATCACTGTTGAAGAATTTTCTCAGGCACAGAGTAAAACCTAATCTGCCAGTTTTGCTGACAACACAGCAGAGGTACATACACATAACATGAATGTGCTAATACTTTGACTGCTTCCTTACTTTTATAAAAATAATGTCATTTGCATGCTTCAGAATATATATATATTCTTACAAATCTCTATTGGCTTGTATACAGAAGTTAAATGTCTAGGCTCAAGCTGAAGTTCCTCTACAGTGCTTCACTGCCCTCACATAAAATGAATATGTTAGCATCCTTCAAGCAAAACAGTACAGAACAGAATAGAAACCTTCATATTTAGGCTTTAAAATTCAAATAGAGACTTCTGCCAGATTCTTGTTTTGTCAAATCCCTCCCAGTTTTGCAAAACCCAGTTCATATCTCTGTGACGAATTAATGGTTCTGATGGTTGACCGCTGATGTCAGACAATGTGAGATGAGCTATCAACCAAGCTGATTAGAACACCATGATGTCTAATGGTACTGAGTTACATGGTCTTACAATAAATAAAACAGACTAAATTACAAGAGCTGGATGAAATTAGGGTCCATGAGTACAATAATCCCATCTCAGATGTACAAGGGAAAAAGCTGACAGGTGAACTACAGGTAAAAGTAACACTAAAGTTCTCCACACAAATACTTGGTTTGAAATTGCAGACACTCTAGAAGCAAACTTCTCATTCTTGGGTCTCATGCTTAGATGTAAATAACGGCAGCCTTCACATCAGGTTTGCACAAGCAGTCATTTCCCTTAAACAGAGAAGATCTGCCCATCTCTTCTATAATACAACCATACTAAAAACAGTAAAGGCTCTTTAGAGAGGGAGAGATTTGAATGATTACAAAAATTAGTGGATGTACACAATAGATTCTCCTTCCATACCAGCTAACAGCAGCAGCATGAAGTATAAAGAAAATGCACTTTAACTGCATTGTCCTACAATAGGTAGGACAATGCTACAGATGAAGCATAATACTGACTGTGCAAACAGAACACCCAAAGCCAAACGCTGGGTACTTCAGCATTAATGGTCAAATAAAAGGGTTGCATGTTACTGGATACAAAAGAAAATCAAGGAAAAAAAATGGATTGAAAAGAACTGAAGGATGAGTCTGCTGTGGACTCCCAGGCACCTGTCTCACATTTTCACCACCACGCTGTGTAGAGAAGATTTTGTATCAGCTACTCAGACTATGTCCTTCAGACATTGCCAGCAGTAAAGGCCAGCAGTGTTGCCATTTAGCTGAGTCTCTCATACCGTGACAGGCTGTCTCTGCAGTGCAGGGAGCAAAAGCAAAGAAGACAGACCAAGTCCCAATTGGAGAATTCTCAACCCTCAAAAGCTGGACAGAAATCAAGTGAATGAGTAGCAAAATGGATTAAGAGGAGTAGGCACCATGAAAGCAGACAGTGTGTCCACAGCCAGCTCTGCTGTGAGAAAGTCTAGGACAGGACAAGGATGGGTTGTTTCCAATAATATTCCAACTTTGTAATGTGTACGGTACATGCAAGTTTTACCAATTTCATCTGGAAAGTCAGAGCATGTAGACATGGCTCACACCATTATTAAAACACACTATCAAGCAGTCTTATGCCAGTGGAACCCAACAGATGCAAATATCACCAGCAGAACATGAAAGTGCTCCTGTTTATCAATCTACCAGAAGAAACTGGTATTTTATTAGGGTGTGAATTTTAATGATTCTTAAGTGGAGACTAAAAATCAGCAGACGCTTTCTTATATCAATACCAGCATTTTAGAGAGTCTGAAATTCTGCCCAACAGCCAAAGGAAAGCTCTGCAGTGGGGAACACCCACTCAAGGCAAGTCAAGAACTGCCTGAAGATTTCCAATAAATGCAGACAGCATAACCCCAACAGAAAGAGTGCTGCTGCATAAAGCTGACAGGCAGCTGTGCTTGCTCCACTTTTTGGAGAATGGCTGTCTTGGATCTCTCACTTCTTTCAGATCCAGCTGTGCCACACGATCTGCAAAGCATCCAAGAAAATTAACTTCAGGCTGATAATTTTCAATCCATGGGAAATGGACATCACCTGCTTGAGCACATGATCTCCTTCAAGGAGCCCGAAGAAATGCTCAGGATTAAATGGACTGCACTCCTCCTTCCTCAAGAGGATGTCACCACTAGTAAAACTCACTGAGCAGATAGCAGAGGCAGGCTTAAAAATGAAGTGTTACAAGCAGAGACATATCGGTGACCACACAGGACCTCAGAACACTGAATGTGCCTTGTTGTGCTGTCTCTAGGGAAACAAAATCTTCTTCAAGCTTCCCAGCATACAGAAGGAATCTACTTCATGGATACCTGCAGTCATCATGGAAATCAAAACTAGCAGTAAAGTACTGATGTTAACAGGCATCCACATGCAGAGGGCTCTATTTTTGCTACTGCCCTGGAGAGCCTGAAGAACTCCAGGGGATGGTTTCTGTATTTGGAATCAAGGTGAGTGGGAGTTTATTTAATGAAATGAACAAACAAAATAAAATACCAAGGAAATATAAAGACTGAAGCAACACAATAAAAAAGCATAAAATACTGTTAGCTACTATGTCATAAAGTAATAAGTACAATGGAATAATGGTATATAGCTGACAGCTCAAAAGCTATCTCCATCTGGGTCAGTATTACAACTTTCAAAATCCAATAAATAGAATTTCTTCAACCGAACAGAAAAGTGTCAGACACTCCTGTTCCCATAACAGCTCAATCCAGGCTGTGTCCATCAACCTGGGGGGAATAGGTGAAAGCCACACAACTGATACATGTCAGATCTCTCTCCCACTCTCAAAGAACAAGCACTGATTATGTTCTCAGGGCGCACATCAGAGAAATGATACCAACTACTCTTTCAAAAGAATTCAAGGCTCCTGTAATATACCTGAAAGCAGGCAACCCAAGAGTGAGGATTCTACACAAGGCAATTTCCCTTCAGGTGCTCAAGAACGTTTCAAATCACACCACATAGTATGATGACCAGCTTAAGCATGTGTGATGGTACCATCCACAATTCTTTGCTTCCTCCTAAAAAACAATGCTCTTCTACACAGTGACAGCAGAACAATTACCTCTAGTATTTGGGAGGCACTTTACATTTTAAAAGCAATGAACAGAAAAGCATAATGTATTCATACAGAGCCCATAAATTAGATCAGACATCAGAAGAACACTGATTTTGGAAAAGCAGTCACAATGAATATGCAGTATTTTTTACGAATCATAACGGCATATACACTCAGGTGCCTCAAACTCATTTCAGTATACTGGAAAGAATGAATAAAATAGTTCTTTATTAACGACCTCCTCTAAATAAAGATGCAGCTCAAATGTAAACATAAAACTATTGCTAAGGCAATAGTTATAAATTTAACTGCCAACAGTAAGGCTACAATTTCAATCAATTTCAATCTACTGGTAAAGTCTCTGGAGACAAAAATAATTTAGAATCCGTATCATTTAAAATGTTCTTCTACATTAGCTTAAAACTTACAAAATAATTTATATTAAAAAATGAAAATGTTCAGACAGCACACTGAGTATCTTTTCACTTCAACTCAGATACACAAAGTTTATATATATGATATTTACTCACCTGATTTTAAAAAGAATTCTGCTGATAAATTTGAGAATAGAAACTATTACTGAATATTTACATAACAGTCACTGAGACGAGAGTATCAAAAACAGAACAATTACTACAAAAGTCTAAAACCTGTTCTAAGAACATCACTCCAGGATATTAAGGATGAGAGAAGAAAGCCATTTAAAATGCAAAATTTCTTAAATAATCCAAGAAGGTGCTTTCTGCTCTTGATTCCATGTGACTGTAAAGATTGCTCAAATCATTTTAGGAATAAGCTTAAATGAGGTCTTTTTGTTCTGATGGTTATTCACAATTCTTATTGCTACCTGATCTAATAATATTGCTCATGTTGAATTTCAAACAGAAAACACATCAAGACACCGTCAGGCTTACTTTGAAACCATAAGCTCAACCTGAAAAATTGAAATTTCTCTCCTACAAACCACAATCACATTAACTTGTCAGCAGAAAAACTCAGAAGAACAACAGCAAATGAACAGGTCCCCAGTCAAGAGGAGAGCCCCTCCTTCAGGCACGCGGGCCAGCACGTCCCTGCAGCGACTGCTCTTACCTAGGCCTATTCTGTTGGGACTCGTCTCCCGACTGCATCCCTGGCTCCGAGGAATCTTGCTGCGCTTCTCTGAGGAGGATGGCACTGGCTGGACTCTGGATGTTCCACTGCTCAGGCCACCATAGGAGCTTCCTAAGAGCTTACCCGGAGAACTAGACCGGCTGCCAGCTAGGAGAGAACCAGAAATGAGGAACAAACGATTAAAACTCCCCATGATTTTAAACACACTGGCAGCAAAACCGGAACACAATCAATTCTCTAATCCAAATCCCTCAGAAAACTAATGGGAGTGTTCCCTACGAGCTTTCAAGAAGACTGAGGAAAGCCTGTGGACAATCAACACTGACATCAGCAATCCTCTGCTGCCCATGAAGATCAAGCCCAAAGCAGACACTGCAGTGTATGAACAGCCTAGCTGGCTTTAGGAGAGCTTGTGGAGGTGCTGGGGCAGCTTTGCTGCAGCAGCAAGGGATTTCCAGGTACCTCACCTCCTCATAAAGCAACACCAACCAGGCTGTGTGCAGAGCCGTGCTGCAGTGCCCTGGCTTCTGGCACAGGTCACCTGCTGCAAAGCAGCTCACTGCTCCACTGCAGTGGTGGTATTGCTTTTCTGCAACAATTCAGTGAAGGAAAATTAAAAAAAACACCATATTTGAACAGATGAACACAATAGTGGGTAAATCCCATGAACCTCACACTCGTAGGGATGCTGGCTTACTTAGGTCTGGCTGGTTAAACCTAAGTTATTTATTTTTCAGATGATGAAAAGTTTTAGCAAGTTGAATAGTTGGCCTGTTTTGTTTTTCCTTGTCTCTTTGAATAGTCCATGGCAACTTTACATTTCTTCTAAGAAATGAGTATGTGAGTCCCTGAAAATCTGCTGTTGCCATTACTATTTCTGACATTAAATTTATTTGCTGAAACAGCCCGGAAAAGTATATTTGAAAGGGTTGCAAGAGCATACTCAGGCAAGCTCACATTTTGAACCAATATTCACACTGATTTCTTACTGAAATGCATCTCACATCTCAGAAAAATTCCATTTCCAAATACTGTTACAACTAGAGTACAACAAAAGTTGAAGACTGTTCTTCTGTCTTAATGTAAGAAGATAGGGAACTCTATTAGCATCATGAACAATACCATAGCACATGTATAAAGTTACTTGCCCCCTCCAATTTCTTGGCCAGAGCTATTCTGAACCAATCAAATACACTCCAATACTGTACAGGGTGCCAGATCCATTCTCCCCACCCCTAAGTGACAGGTGCCAGTCTTCCACACAGCACCATGACCTAAGAGTCATCTCACTGGTGTCAGCAGGGATGTACTGAAGTAACTGGGAGAAGAACTCAGCCCCTGAAGTTTGAGCTGCAGCAGTGAGCCAGCTTTGACATAGAACAGACACTTACCATGTTTCATTAGTGGGAGAAAGCAAAGTCCCCTGCCATACACATTTTGATTTACGACTTCAACAAAATGCTTTTTAAGTCTTACAGTTAAGAGAGAATGAAGAAAGCTAAAAGCTTAGCAGTTAAAAAATGTGAAGGAAATAATGTGAAAAAGCAAGAAAGGGAAAATGTTTCTTACCACCAGCAGGATTAGCTGATCTGGATCCTTGATTATGAGGGCAGACCAAGGGACAGGCAAAAAGTGGATTAAAAGACAGCAAGACAATACAGCGTTCAGCATGCGGTTTGTGCTATACACAATACAGACAGATTTATTTACAAACATGTCACTCCTAAAGCCTCTGCAGAACGCAGTGAGTTAATGTGCAGATGCAACTAAACTTCCCAAGGTTGACCAACTGCTCAGCAAAATGTCAACCAAGACCCAAGTTCTGCTCTAAACTGCACCCCAACCCAGTGTGAGAAATTACAACATGGTTATCCACTGCGTGGGCATGGAGAATCTGGTCCTGTGACTAACTCACTACATTTGAATTTGTAAATTATTCCATGCAACATTTGGTTTAAGGATAAAGATCACATCTGGTTGGACTAGGCTGGAAACTCAGCAAACTAGACCAAGGCAGCAGGTTCAGATTTGACCATCCGAAATCTTTATAAGGCATTCTACAGAACATTAGGTCCACAATCTTTGAAACCTTTAAAGAATAACTATTATTTAAATACTTCTGAGACTTGTCTCATCTGGTCAGACCATTTTTCACCAAACTAGGTTTAGGGAAAAAAAGGTGACTTCTGGCTTTGGATAAGTTCTAGGTTCAACACTGAAGAAATCACTTTACATTAGGATCCCAAAGCCCAAATATATCCTTATGACCCCAATGTAAAGATTTCCATTTGGCCCCATGCTCAATATACTATATCTTTCTGCAGATCTCCCAGTCTAATATAAGGCTATAAACTGCTTTTTCAACCCTCCAGCATGACAGAGCAAAGCAATGAAAGAATGAACAGAGAAGGGCTTTCAAATAGGGGTACAAAGCAAGACAAGTCCTCAGAACAGACAGGTCCTTCACAAACCCAATCTCTGGCTGAAGGTCCTCATAATAGGGACCTTATCTCTCCCCTCAGCTCCTTTTTAAAGTCTGAGTGACAAAATTCTCCTCAGATACACATGACAAATATGCAGCAGCACCATATGTGTGGCTCCTAGGAGAAAACCATGCCTTGCCAGGAAGCCAGAGAGCGCAGATGTGTCATGTGAATCAAAGCAGAACCCTTTTCCCCATATCTACACAAAATAGGTAATATCCTATTTTCAACTGATGCCAACCCCCATTAATTTTAGACAGCTCACGTGTTCACACATACAGAAATAGAGTCACATAAGCAGGAGAGGCTTGGCAGGGCAAGCAGTCAGCTACAGGCACAGGGGGTGTCTCAGCAAGACACAGTGCCAATTATTTAGAGCTACACATCACAGTGACACGAAATTCTGCTGCACAACTGGCAAAAAAAGGCCACAACTAAGCACTGGGATTTGGGGCCCTGTTTGTCAGCAGGAGCACACACTGGCTAGGTGGGGATTAGTTTTATTACGTGTCCAAAGTGAGCCAAATTCTCTGATGGTGCTACTGCAATTCAAGAGAAACACATTAATAACTCTTTGTTCTGCTCCCCCAAGAATAAAGCAATTCTTACGTTGGGACTGGGAAACGACTTTAGCCCGGCTGCGGCCTCGGGTATCGGCAGGCGTAGAGGTGACACTGGTGGCACTGCCAGAGCTCTGCCTCCTGGTGCGAATCCGGCCTGCAGGAATGCAAAGACAATCACACTGTTAACGAGTTTCTCACAAAGGCTGCAGCAGCGTCTAACGCACTATACACACAATTAGCCAGGCTACAAAAGAAATTTACTGGGAGAGGCAACACCTTTTATTAGGCTGGCTGAGATGCAGAAGAGGGAGTGGAAACAGCCACAGCCCATAGTCTAAAACCTTCTTTGCTTTCTGTAATGCTATCAGCCAGTTTAATTAAAAAATATTACCTCTCTATAGCCTCTGCTCCTGTCCTAGAGTAGCTTCTTTACAAAGGATCAATAACAAAAAATTTCAAGCCTCCTAAATGCAGCTTCCTGTATCAAATTATTACTTTCTGACAAGGTGATCACCCTTTCAGAGACAGGTGTGACAGATGCCCTCCCAAATTCCATCGCTGGGATTTCCAACCAGCTGTCTGATGCTTTATATCCTGCTCCACCTGCACAGGCTGGCATGCACTCCCATGACAGTCTGTCAACACAGCCTGACCACACTTTTATTCCAGGCTCATTGAATTTTCCCTGCTGTTTACAGGTCCCTCGTATTTATCCAGAGATCAGTGCAACTTTACTTGTAATGGAGAGCCCTATTTAACATAATCAGTGTTGAGGAAAAGAGATTCTGTGTGCCTTCTCTTTATTTAAGCAGAGAATGGATATAAAGTCCCAAAGTGTTCTCAGTCCTTGTTCTGGCCTTTCCTCATGGAAAAGCCACTGAAATTTGAGCTAGGAAAGCTTATGGGGTCATCAGTTCATCCCCTGCCTGGGGTAGGGTTGTTTCCTACAGAATGCTCTTTCCAGTGCTATGCTTCAATTATCTGTCTCTAGTTAATGGGAAAGAAATGATAATTAAGAGTAACACAAAGAAAGCCTCTATCAATACTTTTCAACACTTCAGTACTTAGCCAAGACTGAAGTTTTTTTCTCAGGACTCATGCCAGTGCTATCCTGCATTCAGAGGATGACTTCCAGTTTCAGGCACAATAATGAAAGGAAAAAACCCACAGCAGGTAAGAGAAGTCTAGACAGCTGCACCCACTGGTTATAGATACTCATCTCCTGCCCTCTGTCTCCACCACAAGCATACAGATATATGAACAGGGAAACACACACACTTCCCACCCAAAAAAACCCACTTGACATAAGGCACACATGCAGGACAAGACAATGGCAAGCAGCCCACACAGAGCTATGTTCCTTCTCTGAGCTCTCAAAATATTCATAACATGGTCTGAAAGCTTCTGCTAGACCCAAAGTGACAAGGAGATGCCTAACTTTGAGAAGAAAGGACAAATTTGTTTGCAAGGGAAGAAGCCTACAAGACAGCTCTACTTCAAACCTCTCCACCAGCACCTAGCTTTAAAAGAGCTCAGTAGGCAAAGTACAGGGAAGTACATTCACACAATTGTTTATAGACAAGACACAGAAGGAATCATCAGCAGAAAACTGGGAAAACACAAACTTTTTAACCACTGTCTCAACTGAACAAGCTCTGAGCACACCCATGTGGGTCCAACAGTCATAAAACTGGCTGCTGATGTCTTTACCACAAGCAATCCTGCAGATTCCTCTGCTGTAGGGCATTCTTGCCCCTTACAACAGGTCAGCCTGATGCACCACTGGAGGCAAGCTCTAGAGCTCTCTGCCAGCCCGATCCCACCCCATGCCAGTTTGGAACGGCTCTGCACAGGTGAGCAGCCACTCTGCCACTTGTTAATGAGCTGGACCCAAAGCCCAACACAGGCTCCAAGGCAGGCAGGCACGGGGAAGGAGGCAGGCAGACATGGTGCTCCTCTCAAAAGCTCAAGGCTTCCCTTCACTTCTATCAGGAAGGCATCACAGTAGGACAAGAATTGAAACCTGACCACCTTAGGAACCAGTAATGGAATTCATTTACACCCTTCCGGAAGGCCAGTGGGAGGCCTTGGCATTGCAGAAGTCCTAGGGGGAAATCAAGCTGAAATTCAACACTACACACAGTAACAGGCAGTACTGGAAGACACATTTAGTGATGTGCATGGCCAAGACTGGGTGAGAAGGGACTGATGTCGCCTCCTGTTACACAGAGACCCTCAAAATTTTCTGGATTTTTCTGCATCTACGAAAGTTGGCTTTTTTTTTTTTTTTTATTTTATTTTTTTCCTTGTACCTTCATCAGTAGGTGTCTAAGAAGGGGAAAACTGGGATAAGATGTGTGACTTTCCCAACTTATGAAATACAAAGTCTAAAATAATATATAAAGTGAAACTGAGATTAGCTTCTGAAACCATTTCTAGAGGCTCAAAAAAATTAAACAGAACTAACACAAACTTAATTAACATGTGATTTATCAACAGGACTGGAAGAAAAAAACTCAGTCCTATTTTGAAACCCCTGAGGGCTGGTGGACAGATGCCTAACAATTTTAGCAGTTTCTGAATGAATGAAAAAATGCCCAGGAACAAAATTCTGCTTCCTTTTGGACTGGTACGTTTGCACACTGATTTAGGCCTACTGGGTGTCAGAGAGAACAGCGTGAGAGGAGAAGTTACTCTTCCACAGTAAGAACAGAGTCCATACACTGATACAGATTTTCCCATCCTTTAAAAAATGCTGACAAGCATTTGAACTAACACTGCATTGGACTTGCATTGTGCAAATAGATTTTTAATATATATTATACCAAGTACAACATGCATATATAATAGTTAATCCATACAACACAACTGTGGCTTCTACATTCCCCCAAGAATTTCATTTGCAAACAAGAATCTGCACTCACATCCAAGAGTTATTTGCACATAGGACTATGTGTGTGGCTTTATCTCTATCACTCTAACCCAGACAGAAAAACTCATTTCAAGCAGGACTGGAAATACAATATCAAGTAAGCTATTTAGACTTGTTCTTGTTCTTAAATTCAAGCAAACACCTCCCCTCCCAAAACTTCTTTGCTTTTAAGTGGCTTTGTCTCCCTATCTAGTTCACAACCATTTCACAACCATTATTTTTCTGCTGCTTTTGAAAGTATTTCTGCATCCTAACAACAACAACATAGCAAAGGAACAGATAAAGACTGCCCCAACATGGTTTCCAAATATCATGAAACTATTTCCATAAAAAAGCCCTTGATCTAAATTCCACACTGCTATTGGTACAGAAAAGATTTTGAAAGACTCCATATAAATGAGTTGTGTTAAGAAACCATTTCTGCATTTTTAGGAGGTTCTGCTTTTATTTTTTAAAAGTTATTATCATTTTTACAACAATGGTTCAGAATCAACCCTGAAAGGTCTAGCAAATGCCTAAACCTAGAAAGGTTGTTTTGGTTTGTTTTTTTTCAGAAATGGAACAAATTAAGGAAGATTCTCTGATAACATTTGTGCTTTACAAGAGGCTTCACCTGGAAGGCTGCATCCTCTGGGCGGATACTGCAGCATCCCTACCCCCAGTGCACAGAACAGCCATAGGCTTTATGACACTCCGTCTTCACACTGAAGAAAATGGTTTTCAAATACTCTGGAAATGGTATGCAACAGCTTCACAACTCACTTTAATCAATTCCATGCTGTGAATAGGGACACCTGTAACCACATAAGTTAGACATGGATGCACTGGGGCAATGATGGTCTCTCTAGGGAAGTTTTCACACTGAAGAAAATGTTTTCAAATACTCTAGAAATGGTATGCAACACCTTCACAACTCACTTTAATCAATTTCATGCTGTGAATAGGGACACCTATAACCACACAAGTTAGACATGGATGCACTGGGGCAATGATGGTCTCTCCAGGGATCATGTTAATGCATTTAGGTTACCCAGCACTGGGGTTTTTGCCCCACTTGGAGAAAAATATTCCAGAAAGAGCCTCTAGCCCTAGATGTATCACTGGTAAATAACACATGGACATGGGAGACACACAGACATCAATTAAAAACACAGGTAACATTAAAAGAACTTTTTACAACCCCCATCAGAAAGGCTTCCATGCATATTTAACACTTCTCCAATGTCAGAAAGACCTGACTCTGCACAATGCTTTTCCCTGAGAGGCACTTGATCTTATTGGAAACCATCAGGCTGTGCTACCTCAGGGTTTTAGTGAGATCTCCCTCCAAAGCAGAGGGCTCAGTGAACACTCCACTTTACCCTACACAAACAAACAAAGCCAAATCAACTCAGCAGTTGCAAAGGGATGGAGCAAGAAAAGCAAAAAACCTACTACCTGAGCAATTCCGTGTAAGGTATCACTGTCAGTCATGACTTTGAATCAAGCCTCACTCTTAAGGACAAGGGAGAGCTTTAGGGCAGAGAAGAAAATGGGAATGGCCATTTCTTTAAACTTGTGTTACACCCAAAGCCTTTGATAATGCACTCAAGGTGTCCACCTGAGCCTAAGTTATCTGAAAACTGTAACAAGCCCCATTTTATTGCCTTTCTGGTGAATACCAAAAGCTATTAAAAATTGTGCCACTGACTGCAAACTGATGATTTTGTTTCGAGCTTGCCAGTCGCAGGTCAAACCAGCATTTATGCTTTCCCTTTTGGAAAAATGCTTTGTCAAAGGGCTTAACTTCATGCTTCCTTTGAAAAAAAAAGGTAACACAAATGCTCTGAACCATTCTAATTAATGAAAGCATTAAGCAGCCTTTTAAAATATTATTTGAAGAGCTGTTTCATTATGAAATAAGAAGAAACTTTTCTAAGGTTTCCTTTTAATCCTGTATACCAAACACGGCATCAGGGCCACCTCCCTAGCACTAGCTGTGAAGATCAAGACTGTAATTTATCTCTTTTGAGCTTTCTCTGTGTAAAACCCTTAATGCAGTTCAAAAGATCCCCATACATGAGGGCAATCAAGCACATCTGTACACTGCATGAAGACCTGCACAAACCTCACTGGTATACAGACTCCCCTACCTTTCCATAAGGAAGTGCATTTCTACAGCATTTGCCAGTTGTTGGGATGCCACAACTTAAAACCAAAGGACTGATACTCAGCTCTTAGCTGGCATTCACCTACTCTATCTTGCTCCTTTGTTTGAGCTGCGTGACTCCAAACCAAACCGTGAGGAGAACCAAGGGCAAAGCAGAAGGGACCTGCCAAGTCCACACAATGCTGGCTCCCAGCTGAGGGGAATGAGCAGAATTTTACAATGTAGCTACAGAAAGCCATGATGGGAACCAGACTGCAGATTTAATGTCAAGCTGAACCACACAAAATAACACAGGAATTTTCTCTTAAATTACTTACTGATGACCTGCAAAAAACCCAAAACAAACCACAGGAGCACAACTGTAGATGACATTTCTGCTTTATGTTCTGTTTCCTTCTGTTTCCAGAGCAAGAAAGAGGATGTTGTTCTCTAACCCCACTCTCTTAATTTTTACATTTATGTCAAGAATACAAGCTTTTATCTTCCCTGCAGTTCCTGACTCAGTCTGCAAGATTGCAGAGTTGACAGAAGACCTTACTCAGTTTCATTATTCACTGAAGGATACACTCAATCCTACATAAAGGGGTTTTTGCCTCAAGTACCTCAAAGAAAAAAGATGAAGAGTTTCAAACAGTGATTAAACTCATTCTTTAAGTACTCTGGCTACATTGTACTAAGCTTTAATTCTCCCTGATCTTCCTCATCAAAAAAGAGAGAATCCTACAGCAAAAAGAAGGTATAAGGCTTGGTATTTAAAACTGAGGGGATAGCAAACTCAGTTTCTGAAACTTCATTCTCAGTCTTCCCTGCCCCAAGCAACTTGCTGGTTTCTATTACAGATTTTTATCAAATCCAATCTGCTCCTAATGTAGCTGAATTGAAAACAGTAACCAAATAAAACCCCCACCCTTTTTCATCATGACAATAAAGTATTTAATAAACTAAAAATAGAGGTATTGCACAGGACAGCTGTTGTAAGAGGCCTCTGCAAACATTATTACAGCCAAGGAGAGGATTGAAAGCTGGTGTTTCATATAAAACATTAAACCCTCAACATTTCAAGTGTAGGCCAAAAATAGATAGGTTTGAGAACTAAGACAAAAGAAAGAAAAGTGTCAACAATTAAAAAAAAACAGAAGAAGAAATAAGATCAGTTATTACAACTACTTGGAATTTTCATCTAACTCATGACTGATTTAGAAATACAGGTCTCAGGCCAACTTCATATTCCTTATCACTGGCAGATCACAAAGCACAAATACTTCCTGCTCAAAATGTAGAGGTCAGCTCATCTCTCAACACTAAGTACCATTTCCAAAAATGGTACAGACCTTTTCTTCCAAATAATAAATCAATGTGTCACTAATAGTAAGGAAAACAACACAGATGTCACAACAGCACAGTGGCACTTCTCAGACCACCACATCCAAATGCAAGCATATCAAAGATATGAGCACAGTCCCACAAGACAGTAATAGATCCCTTGAAAAGAGACTTGCACTGGGGAAAAAAAACGGCTTTGCTGGAGAGTGTGGTATCTCCATTCTGTGTAGAAAACATTTTTGTTTCCAACTCCTGTCTACCTCAGAAAAAATGATTTCCCAGTGATCTTATTTTGCTGAAGAAATAAGAAATAAAGAACAAGTTTTGACAACGAGCCAGAAAAACAGACTGGGATCCTTCCCAAACTAGCAGGCTCAGTGTTCTAGTATAAAAAGCCTTTCCTCCAACTGTCTTTGGTGTAAGCCATCTCACTCAGACAGTTAACAACAAAAAGAGAGAGGTCAGGTTTAAAGAGGTTGACTAAATATTCTTTCCCTAGAGATCATTGTTTACTGTCCTCATTTTTCTGCCATGTGATCATCTCATTCAATTCTCTCACTGCCCAGTCTCTTCCCAAAAGCATTTGGCAGTTGTGACCTGAGCTTTGGATGGAAAAACACAGCAAACCTTCACACATCAAGGAGAAAAGAAATCACAAGCCTTCTGTTGTTTGGAAGTTTTTTGGGTTTTGTTGTGGTTTTTTTTTTTTAAGTCTATACAGAGGTCACCTTCAACCAAAAGCAGTGCTTTAAATAGAGAAACCCACATAACAACTTAGTGACCAGAGCCATAAAAGCAGGGAGGAGCTCAAAGAGAAAGCGAAGAATACCCCATGGCATCAAAATGAGCAGGACAACCATGCAACACTTCATGCAGGTCACCAGTGAACATGGATGAGAACCAGGTAACACTTTGAGAACAGAGACCAGGTAGGGTAGTACGACTGTGGACACACCTCAGTTACACAGAGACTGCTTACCCTCGGTTTTACTGGTAGTACCATCTTTAGGCAAATTAAAGAAAAGTAAGGACAGGGTTAATAGGGAAAAAAATCAGTAACATCAACAGAAGTGGGCACTATATATTAGCTAAATAAATATGCAAAAAAATTTAATACAATTAAAGAAATGAAAAAAGTTGGACCAAGCAGCAAATCAAACCTTGATGTATCGGAAGAAAAGACTTGCAGGTTTTGCCTCCTGCAACAACCAACCTTTGCCCAACTCCATTTTCATTGTTTGCCTCACCATTTCTCTCATGGGAATGTGCAGGTGATAAATGTCCCTACTAGGTAAAAAGGAAGCAGGATCCTTCAGGAGCAGCCATGTTTGCATCACTTAAGACTGAATTTGCTACTTTTCTTCTAGAGCCTGCTTAAAGAACAAGAGTGACACTGGATTTAGTCTCTAAGCTTCAAGGACCAAGTCAGCTTTAAGTAGGTACTTCCTCCCTCTTCATTCTTCCTCATGACATAAGACTATTTGAAGCCAGTTTAGCCAGAGTGAAGCCAGAGTGCAGCACAACTCAAAAGTGCTGCATCTGTAAGCCCACCACCATGTGTGATCAGCTTCACGTTCTGTAATTACACTTCCACTGCAATGTATCTGCATCTTGAACCAAGTAAGAACAATTTAAATCAGAATAAGAATTGAACTTCTGAACTGAATACAACCAACATATCTAAGCCAAGGTAAAACATTTCAGATATGAGAGAAACCTGTCTGAAAATCGAATCCCTAACAATCATCTCTATATAATTCACCACTTACTTTTTAACAGGTTAATGAGCAAATGCCCTACATTAAAAGAAGAAACTCCTCAACCCTTCTCAGTGAAGACAATGTATACAGCTTAAATCAAGAGCACAGACCCCTGAATTTCTTCCCTGTTGTAAAGGTAGATCGATGACAAGTCTGGGATTAGATTAGTGTGAAACCAGCACAATAAGAAATGAGCTCAGAGGATCAGCTCTGCTCACAACCGAGATGAAGCTCAGCAAATATGGTGTCAATCACTGCCTTGCATTTCCTCCTCCATGACTCCTTCAATCACAACTCCAGGAGAGAAAGATCCAATGCAAAGTTTGTTTTAAGAAACCCTGAGACACCTGAAGGTGAAACACAATGCTCTGAGGGAATAATGTGACCTGTGGCTATAATCCAAAGAGTCAGCATAAGGAACAGATACTTATATCCTGTCTGATGAGATGGCAAGGCCAACCTCCTCTTTGGTTCTCCATCTTTCTCCTTCGTGAAACAGAAAGGGAGCAAACTCAACTAAGATGTACTATTCAAAGCATAAAACAATGGAAAAGCAGTTTCAGGAAAGGAGGGAAGGAAAAGAAGGAAAAGAGACAGGGGAACATGTCAAAAGGAATTGAGTAGCACTGTCCTCAATCTGTGAGACGCAGATTATTATACAATTCAAAACTGTTGCTTCAAGTCAGTTCAGCTGTATGTTTTTTTTTCCTTAATCTCAAAGGGCAAGAGATCACACACTGATCCTGGAGAGCTGGTAACTATCTCAGAGCTACGTTCCTCTAGTCAGAGCTTATTACTCCAATAAAACTGCGAGGCACTTTCTGCTCCCAAAGGAAGCTAACTGCAGGAGGAGAACGCGCAGATTTACCTAGTGATGCGTATGACCCTGGGGGCAAGGCTGCAGCAGAACTGAAGGGGGTGGATGCTCCAGAAGACGTCACTTTTGACTTGGCACTAGCTGCTGCATTCACATCGACGTCACTGCGGGATCGCTGCAGAGATCCTGGTGTTGACACAGATTTTGTACTTACTGTAGATGCTGCAGATGGGAGTGGGAGATCCAGAATAAAGAAGATTAATTTTTTGAGCTGTGTGCTTCAAAGAGCCTGACAAGCAGTTTAAAGTACTATTTTTAACACTCCCTGCTGGCACTGAAATACCTCAACTAAGAATGCTTTATCAGGGCAATGTGGGCTTCCCCACGCTGCCTGCAAAGATATTTCATCAATGCTGCTCTGATACCACCTCTAAGAACTTGATAAAGTTCTAAAAGCTTAAATGATAAGATCAAAAAGGCTGTCAGGCCAGTAAAAAGAAATTTTTAACAGAGTCTAGATGGGAAAGTTCAACCACAGTACCCATCACTGGCACGTGAGAGTTGCTGGCCAAAACAGACCTGCAGGTCCTTCAGTCCAGGTTTTAATAACTTCCTTCCCAACACCTCATCTTCTCATGAGGATCGTTGTTCCCATCACTTGTGGATGCTCACCCTCTTAAGCATGAAGCTTGACTACTCAGCTGCAAGCAAACATGCATTTGTGTGCACAGTCAAGTAGGTTACACAACAACATCTCCTTGAATCAAAGGTCTCAGTAGTTACAGACAAACCAGCCAGAACCCAACCTTGGTCAGGTGTAAAAGGCAGCTTATCTTTTACCAGCAAAGTTTTGTCTATTATATTCTACATTAAAATATATTCTTTAGATTATTTTATGCATTTACTTAGGACAGAAAAGCTGTACCTAAATATTCCATCTGACAAGAAAACCAGATTAGCAATGAGACGGAATTTAGCACTGTAGGACTTGTGTGCAGACACCTCCAGTAAGTGCTGAAACCACAGAGAATAAATAACAAAAATTGTAAAACTGAAGGTGCCATTAGACTATGTAGCTGCATATCTTAGCACCAGCAGCAGTTTATTCAAGCTATTACAAAGCATACCTTGGTTACAATTTTCAAGACTTTTTAGGCTTCCCTTCAGGTGTAAGAAATGACTGATTTACTCACTTTTTTAAAAACCATTATTTTATCAGCAGCTGATGTACAGAATATGACGTAAAATCCAAAAGTAATTAAAATTTCTACATCCTGAGCTGCCATTTTAGACAACAGTAAACAGTGATTAAAGTTGGTTTTTGTGTATCACAATGTCACACTTCCTCAGCAACACCTGAGCACATTTTCCAGCTCCTGTTCTCACCTCTTGATGTTGTACTTCCAGTAGGACTTCTTTTGGCAGAGAGTGGACGGCTGGAAGTTAATACAAACACTTATTAAAACACAACTTATATTTCAGTCATCAAGAGCAGTACAATTGTGTTCCCTCAGTACACAATTAAGTTAATAGGAAATTATTTATATGCAGGAATAAACAAAGCTTATTTTTTAAGAATACAGCATCACCATTATATTATTTAAAATAGTATTAAAAATAAATTAGTATTCACATTATTTGTGCAAAAAGAGATTTTTAAGAACACTTTTTGCAGATTAAAAAAGTTACACCAGTAAATTATGGATATTTTTCATATAGGTCTTACACTTAAATCACGCACATTTCGAGTCTAAGTTGACTGTATATCTGAGAGTAGATAAAATACATACATTCAACATAAGAGTTACATATTGACTCTGCAGTTAAAACTCAAGTTTGTAATTTCTTTTCTTTTATCTGGAAAGAGACAGACTTACACCTCTAGGATTAATGCTAAAGGCAGAACTTCAATCTAAGCACTGTTTTAAGCATCTGAAAGGAATAACTAACAGTATCTGCTGAGCACAAATAGCTTCCAAAAAATTATTTATGGAGTCAAGATAATGATTATATTTTAAAGCCAGTACAAGGTTTTGTTGTTCATACAGAGTTAGATAAAAACAAACAATTAATTAAATAAATATTTTGGAGTAACCGAGTGTAGAGTTCAAATAATGACCACATGAGGCAAAGCAATGTGATGGTTCTCTTCAACTTAATGGAGCAGTCTGCCAGCAGTTGTTTAAATGGAGAGGTAGTGCCACAGAAAGCCTTACTTGAGACTCTCCTGGGAGCTGGAGGAGGAGCGATCCGACTGTGGCAGGGACACGATGCTGTCAGAGTTCTTCAAATGGGACTGCAGGGCCTTTTGGTAGGAGGACTCCAAGGTGTGGTACAAATGCTCTGCCTCTCGGCTGAAGTGACTGTGGAAACCCCAGTAGCACCTGGAATGACACACAGCACTGTGAACACACCTTTGCCATGCTTTATGGGGCTGTGGCACAAAGGCACAGCCAGACCCTTCTCACTACACCTTCTCACTCAGTGGGGCTAATGCCCAGGCATTTCCAAGCACCTACTGCCCTGACATGTTTAAGACAAACAGCTTTTTCAACCACTGTACTGCTCAAACAACTGCACAAAAGACAAACCAAATAAAAGAACCACTTGGTGCATTTGTTGTAAAAACAGGAATAGCCAACAAAGCTGCATTGGGGAAGAAGCCCTCATCCCTCCAGCTGTCTTCTGCACATGGGAGACTGCAGGCCCACCAGACTGACACTACTTTGGGACTGGGTATGCAGTAGCTACTTCAAAAACCTGCCAAAGGCAGAAGACACATGAATGGGCCTGAGTCAGGAAAGCACCAGCTACTGTTTTCTTCCTTAACTTTAACCAACAGGTCTCCAAGAATGCTGCAAAGAAACGTCTCTGTACTGAGTTGAGGCTGCTGCCTGTCTTCTTGGAAAAAAAAACCCAAAAAAACAAACCAACAAGAAAAAGGAAAGAGATGCTCATGTGCACTTCACATCAGTGCCATGATGAAAATAAAAGAGCATTTTCAGATGAGGGAAGAATTCCTCTATGGTCCAAAACTCCTGGCTGATGGCTAAACACCATTCACTCTTGAGGCACAAAGGAGATGAAGACTCTTAGTACTTTTCAAGGGGCATCTAATGGGCAGTTCAGGATTAAGATCATTAGCTCAAATGAATCAAGAATTGTTTGTGTGTGACAGCCAGTCCTCAGAGAAGCCACATGCACTCTCACATCACAAGAAGAAAACAAATTTCCTTCTCACAATCAGCCACACTACTATTTAATAAACATGGGAAGAGAGAATTAAGCAGGCTCTCTGAAGTCCCATGCCATTCTCCTTGCTGTCTATTCAGCTTAACTAGTCACCTGCTGTGAAGTCTCAGTGACTACTGTAATTTTCAGTGATGGACATGCTGCCTTTCAAAAGGATTTAAACATCCTACCGTGAAACACCACTGCTAAAAACACAGCATTTAGATTAATAAAATTTATCATTCATTGTTTTCATATTTTACACTATCCTGCTTCTGCAGAAAAACATTCCTGTAGTGTTCTCTTCAGAAAAGCATCATCGTGGTACACAGCACACTACCCTAAGTATGATCATATTAATGGAAACGCCTAAGATCTTCAAAAGAATAAAATTATTTGCAAATATTAAAACTTCCTACAGATAGACACAAAAAATTTTTTTTTCAATTTCATAAAATACTACATTAATTTAAGATACTACTTAGCCATGTACTAGCACTTTTATTTCAAGAATGGCAAATAAGAATAGAATAGGCTACTTCAGTGGGATGGAACCTATAAGAGACACCTGGTCCAGCTGCCTGACCAAATTTTTTTTCAATTTCATAAAATACTACCTTAATTTAAGATACTATTTAGCCATGTACTAGCACAAGAACTTTTATTTCAAGAGTGGCAAATAAGAATAGAATAGGCTACTTCAGTGGGATGGAACCTATAAGAGACATCTGGTCCAGCTGCCTGACCAATTTAGGGCTGACCAAAAGTTGAAGTCTGTTCTTAAGGACATTGTCCAAGTGCCCCTGAAACAGGTTCGGGGCATTGACCACCTCTCTAGGAACCCTGTTCCAGTGTTTGACCCCTCTCTTGGCAGAGAAATGCTTCCTGATGTCCAGCCAGAACTTCCCCTGTCAGAGCTTTAAAGCATTCCCACCTGTCTATCACCAGATTGCAGGAAGAAAGGATCAGCACTCACTGTTTCCCCTCCTCAGGGAACTGTACAGAATGGTCACCTCAGCCTCTCTTTTTTCCACCAACTGGGAAGTCAGGAGAATGTATCTTGACTGGATTTTTGTCTCGACCATGCAATATCACTAACTCACAACACAGGGGCAAAGATGGGGAGGAAGAAGAGAACCAACAAGCTTCCACTTACTTTCTTGCCTCTATCCTTGCTTCAGAGTCTGCATCATGAATTCCCTTTTTTATTGTTTCAGCCAACACTGATATGTGTCTGAAATAATAAAGAAAATATTATCCAGCAGTTTAGAAAGATGTGTCCATAGTTATAACAAATGACTAATTTGATTTTGCCTTGGTTTCTGAGAACAGTTCGCCACATCCTTTCATTTCCATCAAGGATCTTTTGTGCTCTTTCACCAAACTCTGACAGAACTACAGAACAAACAGTGGATGTGCATATGTGCTTCTTTTGGATGGCAAAAACATCTCTACTACAGCTACCCAATATAATCTTCTCACCTAAATGATCCTTTCTCCAGAATGATCCAGGAAATTATCTCCTTCTCTGTAAAATCTCCCCAAATACGTAGGAGAGAACACACCCACTTGTATTCAGAACTTACCTTTCTAAGGAGTGTGTTTGCCACTCCTGCAACAGCAAGTCTAAAAATTCAAAGCAGCGCCTGAGAGGAGAGAGGAGAAGAATTGCTGAGTTCAAGTTAACAGGGGCACGCTGGCTTTGCCATACCTGACTCTGAACAACAGCCATCTTTGCTTAGGAAGCGTTTTGGGACATCAAAATTCAGTGTGGACCTCAATAAAAATATCAACAGCTCTAAAAAACCATTAACAAACAGTCAGAAGTATTAACTGGAGGCAGCTTGCTATAGAGAAGCCTGAAGAGAGGGACTGCCATAAAACAATCCTGGAAGCTTCATTTTTTCATTAAACAAGATACAGGCCCAGAGGATTGATACTGATACTGTGTACCTGTTAGTCCAGGCTTCACACAGAAACCTCACAGTTAGCCTCACGTGGGGACAGACCTTCCAACTTTCCCTTCCTCACTTCAAGAACCTTAAGGCACAAGTGTGCTGAAGTGTGTTCAAGATTTGTCACCAAATACAGCAACTATAAAGCCCTTCCTTCTGTCTAACTCAAAGAGAGCCAGTTAAAGCATGTGGAGGAGGCAAGAGTGAGGTAGTGGACTGAAGCACTTATAATTGCAGAAAGGACCATTAGATCATTCAGTCCAACTTCCCTTCCAGGTGATGCTTGCTTGTAAATCTGATTTACTGGCTCAAAGAAAACAAGTCACTGTAACAGTCAGCAGTGGGGAATAAGAACGTGTCTGTAAAAATGCCAAAATAATATGCTGCTATAACAACATGTAAGGACAACAATTAGTTTAAAAACCATTTCTCCTTGTGGAAAAATGCCTCTTGCTCTCTGCAGTGATGCAGTTATGAAGGATAATTGACTTTGAATTTGAACTCAAATCATGGAGAAGAATGAGATTCATGTTATAATAAGTGTGTTTTCAACCCTTTTCACAAATAACAACAAATACATTCACATTTTCAGAAAGCATCTATTTACCACTAAAAACCAGTAAATGCAAACTAACTTCTCACCTTCTAACTGCAACAGACTTGGAGGTACAATTACTGGTTATGATGGGTATTAACCGAGGGATGTGCGTGTGCTGGAAGTAAACAAACAAGAACAGGAAGAAATCTTTACACAACAATTCCATAGAATGAAAGACCATCTCCTTCAGCCACCTGAGCTCAGTACTCAGATCCTTATTGCTGCTCATTACTTAAACACAGAACTGCACACTAACAGATATAGGCAATTTTTTAATATCAAAAATATTTTACAACTTATCAGCTAAAATACTTATAACAAATACTTGATTTTCTTCTATAATGACACTCTCTAGTGAGTCAAGTAGCTGAAGTCACTGCAGAAGGATCTAAACTGCAATGGTGACAATTTTAGAGACATTAGGCTACCTACAGCTTACCCAATGAATCACTAGGCAGAAGTCACCACTGTGAACTAATACTTTTGAGAAACATGGACTGTCTGTGAGGTATTTTAGAGCATAATTAAGAGGATGAGTCTGTGCTGCAAGGCTGGTCTAAAATAGTTTCAAAGAAAAATATTTGCTCAGCTCTTAGAGAGATAGAAATATCTTGCCCTGCAAAAAGAAACATTTCCCCTACTATTTTGACAGAGCTTAACAAGCATCATCTGCACAAGGCTGCAGAACATCTGAGACAGCCAAGCCCAGCACTATCAGAAAAGTAGATTAGGCATTAATCTTATTTTTATTGCAGCAGCATTCATATTTCATCAGAAACACTGCAGTGTTCAGAAATTATAACACTGTTCTCTTTTGATGTATACTTACTCGAATGATTAATCTAACTGCTACAACACCAGAAGTGGCCATGACTTTGGCACTATTTGGAATTAGATTAAAAATTGTTGGCATGATGGCTTCTGCCCCATGGTCAAACTTGTTTCCCAGAACTGATGACAAATGTCTGAAAAACAGAATGAAGTCACGCTGGTAAGTGAGCTGAAGATAAAGCAAGTCAGACTTGTACAGAACATGTGACATAAGCACATCTGACATCTCGATCTTTGCAACTGTCACCTCCTCTCCAACTCCAAAGGACAGATAGCACCATGTTTCAAAAAACAGTTCCTTTCCTTTCATTTCAAATTTGTGTCCTATATTCATCTGAACCCTGAGAAACAGTAAGGTCAGCATAAAAAAAAGTAACTAGCATAGCTAAAAAATTTATTATCAAACAAATGGGATCAAGGTGATAGAACACCTTTATGTTAGTTTATAGTACAACTTCTCTGAAGCTCCCTATTTTTAAAAAAAAACATGTCAGAAACACTGCAGCACACTTTTTCTTGAAGTATTTCACAAAGGATAGACCATCAGAAATAAAAATTAGCTCAATCCAAATCAGAACAAAACATAAACATTCCCAGCTTTAGTGTTCAGTGCTTCCCTACTTGTGCATGAAGGCATGGCTTGCTCGTTCATTCTGTGCAGCCCACATCAGCATTGTTTAGTACTCAGGAACACAGCTTAGCAGAATTACAATTAGTGGCCTACATGATGGAGTTTGAAACAAATGCAGAAAAATCATGTTCTAGCACAGCACTAGCAGCACAAGCTGCATCCTGACTGTTTTAATCAATGCCTGTTCCTTTTCTTCTACATCACATTTCAAACACACATAGAAAATAAACTCACCCCAAGGTGATACAAGCCTCTCGTACAACTTGAGACCGCAGGTCTTTAGCAGATAATTTAAATGCTCCATCCAAAAGTCTTAAGTGTTGGAAGAAGTTATCATATTCTGCAGCTCCAGCCAAAAGTAAGGAGCGGATCTTTTTCAACTGTTAGCAGTATAAAAGAAATCAGTGACAGTTAATGAGCAGCAAATATAAGGACAACTCAAGACCAATACCTGATTCCAGGTTTCTTGTGCAATTATTCATCTACATGCATTGAGGAAGTTGATTCTTGATGTCCAAGTACTTTTATTATTTCCTATCTCATATTCAACCCATGGTTAGTAAACATACTAGGTACAATATGCTAAACATCCTTGCTAACTTACAGAAATCCAAAAGTGTTGCATACAGCTACTCAAACTGTATACTTAATAACCCAAACAATATTTTTATAATCAAAAGGTATCTTAAACATTATCCTTTGTTCCCCTATTTACAGCAGCTTCTAACATTTAGGTAATCTCACAGCTGACTCTCATGTTAAAAAGATATCTAGACTTAAAGGGCATGGTTCACATTCAGGCCTGGGTAATAATGACTTGTATCCAGAATGTGTCCATTTACTTCATTAAAACAGTTATCTGGCTCTAGCAGAAGTGGAACCTTGACCCCATCAAAATGGGAAATTTCCTATTAATATTACAGGACCACCATCCCATCCCGCAGACAATCCTCTGACAGCTTCACAGACCCTCCCATGCACCACTGCATCTGCACATGGGCTTGATTTCATCTCCCTGTTACTCAGTACAGAAATAAAATTAAACAGCAGTAAGCTGAATCAGCCCAGTCTGCCACTCAGATCTGTAATACAGGGTTTGACAGACATGGCAAAGCTGCTACACCAGTGATGAAAGTCTGCTGTGTAGACAAGACTGTGCATCTATTTGTATCATGAAAACACAGCTCACCTCAGTAAATAGTATTTGATCTTGGCATGAACATAACATCCAATTTTCCACTTCCACACTTCCCACAGACTTATTTATTTATTCAAAACTTAAGTGTGTAGATTCTTGCTGAATTATTTTACACCTCCCTTTTGCAGAAGTATAAATAAGTCCTCTGTAAGCAAAGTAATTTTCTGCCTTATCAGGTAAGTTTTCAGATATTCTGAGTAAGACTTGACATTTTGATTTTAGCACCCGCAAGCAAATTTCTAGCTTTGAACCTGCATTTACTGCACAGCTTCCAGTTCAACCTGATGCTGTCTCAACAGACTCTTGTATACCAAAGAGCAATTTCTCTCACAAATGTGGCTTAAATTCAGTCTCACAAGGAAACATTTTCCTCAAGTTTGGGGGAACATAACAAGTGCTCACCACTAAAACTACATTCCAGCCTTAGTCTGATGTTTTCTCAGTATCCTCAGTGGGATTAAGCTCAGTGTAGAAAAAGCTTGTATTAATAGAGATCCTATCTAAATTCAATACTTACCGCAGAAACTCTCTGTTCCCAGTCATGTTTATCATCTGATAGTATCTCTCTGATCTTGTTTATGGATTCCTCAAGATCCCGGCTGGAATAAATCTACAAATTGAAATACAGAGCAGCACCGTAATGCAGGATTTACTCCATAAAATCAGATCACTTCCCAACTACATTCTTATGTCCTTTGCACCTCAATGCTTAAACATCATGTGCTAGCCTTGGACACAACTGGCTTTGCACAACGCACAGAATTTACACCCATTGCCTGCAACCAAAAATTTAGAAACTATCACAAGATGATTAAAGGATCATATTGCATTATTTTACTATAGTTTCACAATTTTAAGCAGCATTCCTGCAGCTACTAGTGGCTATATTAGTTCAAAACCTACAAAAGATGATGAGTGGACACATGTGCTGTTCAGCTGTCCCAAATATAAAGCTCCAGTGAAGGAGAGGGGATACATGATGCATCTCAGCTATCCAGTTAAATCAGCATACATGCATGGTCCAGTTGTCACACTCACAACAGCAGCGATCCCTGAGACACAAGTCACCTTCACTGCTTTCAGTTCCCAGAGGGTTTCACATAAACTACTAGCACACCCCACACCATTTAGAACTTGCCTCCCTTCAACTTCTAGCCTGGTTCCCCCTTAAAGATTTGCCAACATCACAATGAAGCACAATTTGCCAGTGATGAGATCCTATATCCACCTTCTGCTTTTTAGTACAGCGTGGTTTAACCCCTAACGCTACTTACCTGAACTGTTGGGACATCTTCAAATGCCTTAATGAAGTCTTCTTCATCCACAGCACCTGCTCCCTCTTTGGCTGCTGACACACAAATGAAAAAGCCTTTTCAATCTTGTTATCAACAAGAGAATCAATTAAGAAACCATCAGCTATCAAGGCACTTAATCAGGAGAAAGTCCACTACCCATGCAGCCTGAGTGCTGCAGATGTAATGAAAGCAGAGGCAGGGAAATTCAATGCCAGGCACTGGTGAGACATTCATGGCATCCTTCAACTCACAGGCACACAGGGCACATTAGGGAAGTCATTACAGTAGTCTCTCAATAGTTAGGGGACACAGTCTGAAAGATGAAAGGGAATACTTATTTTAATTATATGAGAGACTTTATTTTAAAGGATTTAATCCCATCTATAATAGATGAAGGTGAAGATCTGACAGGTGCACAAACAGACGAACGATAAGGAAGACAAACAGTCTCTGGAATACTAATCAGATTAGAGACTGCCTGATATAAGGAACTTTCTCCCTTTCCCTAGGACACGCATAGAATTAGAGCTACATGTAGAATAATTGCTAACATTCAGAATGACTGATCAGTATTCTTTTTGCACCTTCATTACCAGAAATGCCCAAAGGTCTTAAAAGAAAGCCAGTGTGTCAGGTTTAGACTGCAAGGGCTGAAGCGTGGCCGTATAGCTTCTGCAGCTATAAGCAGTCTCAGTTCAGATAGAGGCAAAAATCTACACACTGGAGCACCAACTGATTTACTCATAGCCCTCAGTGCACAACCACACAGGTGCAACCTCTCACAAAATGCAAAATAAATTATGTGGGCATTTCTTGGAGATTCATCCTACCAGACTCTGGTTGTGGCATGCAGAGAACACAGACATAATGACTGTATAGGGAAAAATTTGTTACTGTATTCTGGGGGCCAGTCTGGAAGTGCTTGCAAGAAGCTCAATATGAGCACTGTAAATACTTCACAGACACATCAATTTATAAAGGCTATTGGCTTACTTGAAGACTTGGAGCCCAGAGGTGCAGAGCCAAGCCTGCGGGTAGTGCCCATCCCAACTCTGCGTGAGTTTGCAGGGGCCTTTGAAGATGTAGAGGAGCTGGCTGAGGAAGGTCTGTTCCCATCCACGGAGTCTTCATCATCAAAAATTTTATCTGCCAAAAAAACCACACTCAACTGTAAGACCAATGAAGCAAAGGGATGCCCCAAGGAACATGCTCCTGTTATGGCAAACTTGCTACATTTTCCAGCCTGCTCTGCCAGCTCCCATCTCAGCAGTGTCCTCATGCTAAAATTCAGTTAGTCACAGAATACCACCATCTCACTGAACCCAGTCCTTCACTACTGCAGCCACTATGTTATAAACCCTTTCAATGAATGCATTCAGATAAAAAGAGTGAACTTCAAATCCACAGCAAAAAGATGCAAGCCTCAGATAATACTTGGGATGTTGAGAGACTGCAACTCTCACGTTTATGTCTCCAAGAGTTCTTTGGACATAGACTGTAGTAGAACTAAGACCACAAGCAAATCCAAGATCCAGCAGCAACTGCCTGCACCAGACCAAGGATAAACAGTCACCCAGGAAAGTTCACATGGCAACACCCATGTTGTTGATGAACCACAGACCATTAATCACACACCCGTCTGGAGCTACTTTAACTCTTTAAATTAATACCAGGGATTCCTTACAAGGAAATAGAAAAGGTTTTCTCAAATTCATAAAAACATAATTATAAGGTTCATTAAACCTTTCAGAACCTTCTGTGTACATCCAACTTCAGCCTCTACCACCAAATGTGAACATAAATTAACTAAAAATGAATTACAGCCTCTTTGATTCTCAGTCAAGGTTACTTCAATTCCAAAGGACTGCTTATATTGCAGTTTTACACAGATTAGCTAATTTACTTGAAAAAACAGCCTTGGGTTGAAAGGTGACAAAGCAGTTGGCAGCTGATATAGATGGAACATGTAATTATTGAGGCCAGAAAGCCAGCTCAGCCCCCATCACTCAGCCTCTCCACAGGAACACTTCATTCAAGATTTGAGATCAGCTTCATGCCCGTCCCTCTCCAGCAGCCCAAGGTACACACTCACTCTCCATCAGATTACCAACATTTCCTTCACAATTTTCACTTGGCAAAAAGTCAAGCAGGTGCTTTAATCCATCCCTGCTCAGGAAAGCACCTGGGAACTTCTAGTAACAAATGCAGGTTCTAGCGAGACACTAATGAGTGAAATTCAATACAGGCTGGGCTTTCTGAAAGTAAAAAAATAACTTGATAACAGTATAGGCATATTTTAGGGGAAGCAAAAGAACAGGAAGAAAAGCCTGTTTTATTCTCAGCTCAACCATCTTCAGTTTTCTCTGCCCTAAGTGGCACTGGCTTATTAACAGCTGGCCAGGAGAATTATCACAGATCATCTAAAAACCTACACAGCCCATTTTTGATATGCAGCAGTGCACATAATGCCATACTCCAATCACAACTCAATACTGACATGGCAGGCACACAAAAACATCCAAAGGTGAAAAAAGGTGGACAAGGACATCTCTCCTCTTCATTTTGGTGTTTAAGATGTCTTGAAATATGGGAAAGGGCTAGGGGAAAAAAGCAGCTCTAAAGGAAAGGGGTAAAATAATAACTGGTACTTGTACTGTTGTTCAGGAAAAAGTGAACAGAAGAACTTAAATAAATTTCAGGTCACACAGCTAAAGAGAATATAAACCACAATTAGGATGTGGGCTGTCTCTTTAACACGGTGCCTGAAGGCAGCCATGGAGACTGTGCTATCTCCCTCTTGACACCAGTCTTGTTCTGACATACGGAATTCAAAACTAATTTGAAAAGAGCTCAGGGAACAATCATGAGAATGATTAAAGGATTAGAAAATATGTTTTTAATTCAATTAAATGACAATTCTCTGCAAGAGATTGTTTAGTCTAGCCAGATTCGTAATAAGTTGCTTGATTATATTCTGTGTTAACACAGCTACTGAGGATTTATTAACACAGTTTTCCAGTGTGATTTATTAATATTGTTTCTCACCTAATAGAAAAATATACAACAAGGCAACTGGCTAGAGTTAAAAACAAATTAAATTCTGAGTTGCCTTTTTTTTCCTCTCTTCCCCCCTGCTCCCCCCTCCATTTTTTGCAATAATCACAGAGCTGACCCTCTGTGAGGTTAGGAGGTGCATCACCCAGTGAATTCTACACAGGCAGTTCTTAAAAAAGCAAAACTGAATTTTTTTCCCCCAAAAGACACAGTCTAGTTCAAACAAGAATTATTTCAAAAATACTACTTGGTGTAAGTTGCACCAAGGTCAGGGCAGATCAAAACAGGCTTTAAAATGTGTAATCTCTGAAGCCTCTAGGATGAGGTGTAAGTGATTCAGAGAGACTGGGACAGCTATTCAATCCAAAAATGAAGCAAAACTTGTTCCAGGTGCAATTATTTGAAAAGCTCCTACATAAAGATGTAGCAAACTATTATTTGACATATGTGTATTAACAGCCAGGAGAAAGTCAGTCATATTCGAAACAAAAGGTACTTTTACTAGCTCATAGCCTCTTTATCAGGTAATGAAATTCCCCATCAGCTGCATTTCAGGCTACCTAGATGCAGCCTACTTAACTCACTTCCTCTTCTATATGCATTTTCAAAGCCTCAGCCCTCTGAAGGGAGAAGAGGGTGTGGTTTCCTATTTCATATAATAAATCAAAAGTAAAAAAATCCAGATATCAAAAGCATTGCACTCCTATAGCATTTTAGCAACTAAATAGATTAAAATTTCTTTCTTAAACAAGCTTTTCTGAGCATTAGCAAAAAAACAACACTCCAAAAATCAAACGAGCCCACCCACAGTTCTGGGGATGACTGGATTACATTCACATCTTCCTGCTCATTAAGTCTGTAAACTAAGCACTACTTATTTATCAAACCAGAACACCCCTTCAATAACCCAACAGCATTTTCTCATCTGAGCAGTGCAGGATGACAGCACCACATTCAGAACTGCACATCAAGTCTGCCAGCAGCACGTGTGCAGAACAGAAAGAGAAACAAAGAACAGAAAGGAACCTGGACATGGGAGTACAGAAAAGAACAGAAAACCAAGCTACTATACATTATTGTTATAAAACCCTTTTTTTTCTTTGCCACCCATTGATTCCTGCTCATAATAATCATTTGAACTGGATTCATATTTTTCAGCATATCTGCAAATGGCAAATTCAGCATGGGTGTAACTCTCAGGACACCAGCTGAGGTGCACTGAAGCGGAATTGGTGCCCCACTCTAACATTAAATAACCACTGATGTTCTCCCATCACAAGACACCCCCAGTGCTCGTTTATAAAGACCTTACAGTACTCTCTGTCCAAGACATGCCCGTATAAAAGAGGCCTTTGTCTGCTCGCCACTCTGCTGTCTCAGAGACAGAGAAAAGGCAATCTGCTTTACGTTTTTCAATTCCTTTGCATTATTTAATAAGAAGAAAAAATTGCTTACAAGTACATATCCTTCTGCAAATAAGCTTCCTCAACATTCCTTCATATTTTCCATAGCGTGCCCAGATGTAAGAGTGCTTCACGGAGCGCCGCAGCTTTCAGTCCGGAACATAATCAATCATTGCCCCTCGGATTCATTAAGCATGCTGTCTTCACACGTGGATTTAAACAGCCATGGCCTCTGTCCTCTCTCTCTCTCTACGGCTGCAGATCTGCACAATTCTTATAATCAACACCCATTTCAGCCCAGGAAACTTCGGTTCACTTCTGGGGAGCAAATTCCCTACTAGCGAGGGGAACCCAGGACAAATAATCCGGGATGAAGATGAGCTGAGTGTGCCTGGCTCGGCTGGCTTGCACTAGGAACCAGCCTGACTTTATCCCCTGGGAAGCGCTAACAGGAGCATCTCAACAGCTGTCATCATTTGTCCATGACGAATAAATTTAGTCATTATTCATTTTAAAACGTAACCCCTTCAGGTCTGGGCAAGGTGGAAAGTGGGCAGAAGAGGCTGCTATTCAGGAACCATGGTAAACAAGGGCCAGCACTTCCCTTCGCTGCACTACCAGCCTGGGACTTTTTAAAGCAGTCTCTCAAATGTCCTTTCCAATGAAAAAAAAAGATGCTTTCTGGCTTTTAAAAACTTTAGGAAATCTTTTAGTTATTTGTTTGAAAGCTTTAGAGAAGACAGTTACTCTGTAGTGATGACAAACTGGGAAGAGAGCTTTCCATCAGATGTGTTCCTAACAAAGATGCCCCACTACAGTCTCCAGATTTGACTCTGTAAAGGACTACACTTGTTCTGGGCCCACAGTGCCCACTCATCATCTGTTCCATTTCCAAGCATCAGAGCAGCTGAAACAGGCAGGATGGGTACCTCTTGCATGAATCACCTGCAACACTCTCAGAAGAATCCCTCTTTTGGGTGCAGATGGAAGTGGATGTCACCAGGGGAACATGCCTCCCCACCATTCCTATGGCATGCTCCACCAGGAGCAGACAGCTAGCTGCTAAAGCTGACAAACATTACAGCACTTCCAAATTCCATGCTCAACCCCTACGAGGTGGGCAAAGCCCAGCTCCTTGAAGATCTGAGAGCCCTTTACAAGCCAAGAACACACCAGCAAAACTACCGATGCCAAAGGAAACAGGGTGTGTTCCTCTTTACTCCTTTCTGCCAGGCACAAGTCCATGAGCACTGGACCATATTTTTGAGACAGACACCCCTTTGACATCTCAGCTCATGCCCTTCCCCCAGGGCAGCATCTGGTAGCCCCATCTCCAGCTGTGACTTCTGCTGTCACCCTCTGTTGGGTGTCCAAGCGAAACAGCTTCAGCTGAGGTTAGAAGCCTCTTCCCATCAGCACACATGAAACCCATGCATGGCTTAGCTGCAAGCCTGTCCAACTCCAACATAGGTGTTGTAGAGGTTTCTCCGGGAAAATAAGTTTATAAACCCACTAAAGATAAAGGAACATGCATCCTCAGCAGGATTAAGTGTTTAAAAACAAAGGAGTGGCAGCTACAGGCAGAAGTCCATGGACACAGCACATCATTAAGGTTTCCTGCTTGGCCATCTCCCAGTGTCCCAGCTGCTCTCCCTGGCCCCAGACACAGCTCCTCCTTCCCACCCTCCA